TTTTCTGTCTCTTCCTCTTCCGTTTCATTCTCTCACCTTCCACGCCTTCCACCAGCCGTGTCGATCCCTTAGCTGGTAACAAAACCTTCTCTCCACCACCACTACCACCAGCACCAGCAGCACCAACACCAGCACCAGCAGCACCAGCAGCACCACCAGATCTGCTACCAGCATTGCCGGCAGCACCAGCAGCACGGCCCCCAGTAGCTGCTGCTGCTGCTGTTGCATTCCCCCCCTTGTTCTTGCTCTCAAACCCCCCTCTCTTCTTGTCTGTGCCAAACGAAACGCCTCGACTTTCATTGGCAGTATCCCTGCCACCACTGCCACCAAAACGGCCGCCTCCTCTTCCCTCCCCTCCTCTTCCCTCCCCTCCTCCCCCCCTCCCTCCTCTTCCCTCCCCTCCTCTTCCCTCCCCTCCTCCCCCCCTCCCTCCTCTTCCCTCCCCTCCTCGCCCCCTCCCTCCCCCCCGTGCTGCTCCTCTCCCAAACGAAGCAACTGCAGCATCACCAACACCACCCCTTGTAGTGCGGATCCCTCCTCTCTCTCCTCTCCCTCCCCTCTCTCCTCTCCCTCCCCTCTCTCCTCTCCCTCCCCTCTCTCCTCTCCCTCCCCTCTCTCCTCTCCCTCCCCTCCCATAACCATCTCCCTTTCCACGCCCTCCCACTCCTCCCTTCTCCATCCCCATTCTACTCCCACCATCATTAACATCCACCGCAGCCCTTTTCCCTTCCTCCACTCCCCACCCACCCTTCTCACTTTCCTCCCATGCTCGTCTGCCAATGCCCGTTCCATCACCCCATTTGTCTCCTCCTCTGTCTCCTCCTCTGCCTCCTCCTCTGCCTCCTTCCCCCCCTCCTCTCCCTCGCCCTCCTCGCCCTCTTTGCACAGACAAGCTCTTTCTGCTAGTCATTGCACTGCTGCCAATAGCATCATCATCATCATCATCATCATCAGTATCACTATCAGCAGTAGTAGCAGCAGCAGTCCCATCCCCATGGTCATCCAAGGAGAGGAAAAAATCATCATCATCCCACCCTGACGCACCTGCCCCTCCTCCTGCTTCTGCAACCACACCAACGTCTCCCCCCTCCTCTTCCTCCTCCTCCTCGTCGTCGCCGTCGCCCGCCTCCTCCTCCCCTCCATCTGCTTTCTCATCCTCCTCCAATTTCTCCCAGTCCTTCTCTATTCGCTCCAGCCTGCCACCAACGTCACTCTTTGATGCTCCAACTACCCCCTTCAACCTCTTAAAGTTTCTTTCCTTCTCCTCCTCCTCTTCCTCCTCTTCACTCGCCGTACTCATTTCCCCCTCCTCTCTCTCCTCCTCCTCTCTCTCCCCCCCCTCCTCTCTCTCCTCCCCCTCCTCTCTCCCCTCCGTCTCCACCCACCCTTCCCCCTCTTCACTACTCCCGTCTCCCTCTCCCTCTCCCTCCTCGTCCCATCCATCCAACCCATCACTGTCATCACTACCTGCCTCCCTGTCATACTTCTCCCACTCCTTCAGCATCGCTTCTTCCTCATCCTCGTCCTCTTCCTCTTCCTCCCCACCCCCACCCCCATGGCTACCGGCATTACCATCACCACTGCCACTCATGCCGCCACCGCCACCGTTCATGTCATCACCACCACCACCTCGTGTTTTCCCAAGGCCAAAGATACCATCGCCAAACATTTTCCTCTTCCACATGTCCACTCCTTCGTCCTTGCTCCTATTTTCCTCCTCCTCCTCCTCCTCCTCCTCCTCCTCCTCCTCCTCCTCCTCCTCCTCCTCCTCCTCCTCCTCCTCCCCCCCCTCCCACACCTCCTCTTCCCCCTCCCCCCTCTCCTCTTCCCTCACCCTCACTCCCCCCTCCCTCTCCTTCCCCTCCCCCTCTCCCTCCTCATCATCACCATCATCATCATACACAAATACTTTCTTCTTATTCAACCCAGCAGGAACCAGCAAGCTCGTCTGTGCCTCTCCCTCCCTCATCCCCTCCCTCCCCTTCCTCCCCCCCTTCTCCTTCCCCGCCTTCTCACTCCTCTCCCCACCTTTCTTCCCCCCCACCTTCTTCCTGTCCTGCAGCTCTACTTCCGCATCATCCCACAGAGATGCTGCCAGGCAGGAGGAACATGGGGGAAAAAAAGGGCGAGGAGGACAGTGGTAAGACAGCAAGAATACTACGGGAAAACCTGCCTTGAAGCTCCACCTAGGCGTCATCCAAGAGAGACGCTGGCAGGGGGGGGAGAGGAGGAGGAGAGGAGGAGGAGAGGGGGAGGAGAGGGGGAGGAGAGGGGGAGGAGTGGAAGAGGAGAGGGGGAGGAGAGGAAGAGGAGAGGGGGAGGAGAGGAAGAGGAGAGGGGGAGGAGAGGAGGAGGAGAGGGGGAGGAGAGGAGGAGGAGAGGGGGAGGAGAGGAGGAGGAGAGGAGGAGGAGAGGGGGAGGAGAGGGGGAGGAGAGGAGGAGGAGAGGGGGAGGAGAGGAAGAGGAGAGGGGGAGGAGAGGAGGAGGAGAGGGGGAGGAGAGGAAGAGGAGAGGGGGAGGAGAGGAGGAGGAGAGGGGGAGGAGAGGAGGAGGAGAGAGGGAGGAGAGGAGGAGGAGAGGAGGAGGAGAGGAAGAGGAGAGGGGGAGGAGAGGAGGAGGAGAGGGGGAGGAGAGGAAGAGGAGAGGGGGAGGAGAGGAGGAGGAGAGGGGGAGGAGAGGAGGAGGAGAGAGGGAGGAGAGGAGGAGGAGAGGAGGAGGAGAGGAAGAGGAGAGGGGGAGGAGAGGAGGAGGAGAGGTGGAGGAGAGGGGGAGGAGAGGAAGAGGAGAGGGGGAGGAGAGGGGGAGGAGAGGAGGAGGAGAGGGGGAGGAGAAGAAGAGGAGAGGGGGAGGAGAGGAGGAGGAGAGGGGGAGGAGAGGAAGAGGAGAGGGGGAGGAGAGGAGGAGGAGAGGGGGAGGAGAGGAGGAGGAGAGGGGGAGGAGAGGAGGAGGAGAGGGGGAGGAGAGGAAGAGGAGAGGGGGAGGAGAGGAGGAGGAGAGGAGGAGGAGAGGGGGAGGAGAAGAAGAGGAGAGGGGGAGGAGAGGAGGAGGAGAGGGGGAGGAGAGGAAGAGGAGAGGGGGAGGAGAGGAGGAGGAGAGGGGAGGAGAGGAGGAGGAGAGGGGGAGGAGAGGAAGAGGAGAGGGGGAGGAGAGGAGGAGGAGAGGGGGAGGAGAGGAGGAGGAGAGGGGGAGGAGAGGAGGAGGAGAGGGGGAGGAGAGGAAGAGGAGAGGGGGAGGAGAGGAAGAGGAGAGGGGGAAGAGAGGAAGAGGAGAGGGGGAAGAGAGGAGGAGGAGAGGAGGAGGAGAGGAAGAGGAGAGGGGGAGGAGAGGAGGAGGAGAGGGGGAGGAGAGGAGGAGGAGAGAGGGAGGAGAGGAGGAGGAGAGGAGGAGGAGAGGAAGAGGAGAGGGGGAGGAGAGGAGGAGGAGAGGTGGAGGAGAGGGGGAGGAGAGGAAGAGGAGAGGGGGAGGAGAGGGGGAGGAGAGGAGGAGGAGAGGGGGAGGAGAAGAAGAGGAGAGGGGGAGGAGAGGAGGAGGAGAGGGGAGGAGAGGAAGAGGAGAGGGGAGGAGAGGAGGAGGAGGAGGAGGAGAGGAGGAGGAGAGGGGGAGGAGAGGAGGAGGAGAGGGGGAGGAGAGGAAGAGGAGAGGGGGAGGAGAGGAGGAGGAGAGGAGGAGGAGAGGGGGAGGAGAAGAAGAGGAGAGGGGGAGGAGAGGAGGAGGAGAGGGGGAGGAGAGGAAGAGGAGAGGGGGAGGAGAGGAGGAGGAGAGGGGGAGGAGAGGAGGAGGAGAGGGGGAGGAGAGGAAGAGGAGAGGGGGAGGAGAGGAGGAGGAGAGGGGGAGGAGAGGAGGAGGAGAGGGGGAGGAGAGGAGGAGGAGAGGGGGAGGAGAGGAAGAGGAGAGGGGGAGGAGAGGAAGAGGAGAGGGGGAAGAGAGGAAGAGGAGAGGGGGAAGAGAGGAGGAGGAGAGGAGGAGGAGAGGGGAGGAGAGGGGGAGGAGAGGAGGAGGAGAGGGGGAGGAGAGGAAGAGGAGAGGGGGAGGAGAGGAGGAGGAGAGGGGGAGGAGAGGAAGAGGAGAGGGGGAGGAGAGGAGGAGGAGAGGGGGAGGAGAGGAGGAGGAGAGAGGGAGGAGAGGAGGAGGAGAGGAGGAGGAGAGGAAGAGGAGAGGGGGAGGAGAGGAGGAGGAGAGGTGGAGGAGAGGGGGAGGAGAGGAGGAGGAGAGGGGGAGGAGAGGGGGAGGAGAGGGGGAGGAGAGGGGGAGGAGAAGAGGAGGAGAGGGGGAGGAGAGGAGGAGGAGAGGGGGAGGAGAGGAAGAGGAGAGGGGGAGGAGAGGAGGAGGAGAGGGGGAGGAGAGGAGGAGGAGAGGGGGAGGAGAGGAGGAGGAGAGGGGGAGGAGAGGAAGAGGAGAGGGGGAGGAGAGGAGGAGGAGAGGGGGACGAGAGGAGGAGGAGAGGGGGAGGAGAGGAGGAGGAGAGGGGGAGGAGAGGAAGAGGAGAGGGGGAGGAGAGGAAGAGGAGAGGGGGAAGAGAGGAAGAGGAGAGGGGGAAGAGAGGAAGAGGAGAGGGGGAGGAGAGGAAGAGGAGAGGGGGAGGAGAGGGATGGGAAGGGGGGGATACAGGGCGAGGGAGGGAGCTTTTGAGTCGGTAGCAGGAGGAGAGGGGAAAGGTATGGGGGGAGAAAAGGGGAAACGTGGCGAGAGAGTCATTCGATTCGAGCCACGTTGAGATTAACTTTGCTCAGGAAAACAGGCAGGGGTTTGGCACCGGTGATGCGGGACAGAGAGCACAAGAGCGACACAGAGGATGGGAGGAAGAGGGTTGATGAGGAGAGAGAGAGAACGGATATCAATGCATGAGCAGGGTCAGAACCTCTAAAGATTTGATGCCCCTCAACCCTTTCCCCCATCTCCCATCTCCCCCCTTCCCGTCCCCGCCCCTCCCCCAATACGCCCCTTCCCAATCACCCCATTCCCCCCTTCCCCCCCTCCCCTCTCATCCTCCCCCAACCCACCAGCACGGCGCCGTTCCTCCCGCTGCTTCCTCTCCTCCTGCTGCGCCTCCTCCTCTCTCCGCGCCCTCTCCTCCGCCTCGTGCTTGTTCTCCCGTGCCAGCAGCATGAGCGCCTGGATCTTCCCCCACAGCCGCTTGCTGTCGGCGCTGCTGCCATGCTCACACCCGTGGTTGACTACAACAGACACGTAGTGCCGCCACAGGGGGAAGAACTGCGTTGGGGGTGTTGCATGACAAGGGGGGGTGGGGAGGGAGCGGTAGGGGACGGGCGGGAGGGGGGAGGGGGGGTGGAGGGGAGAGAAGGGGGAGAGTGTGGTTGCAAAAAAGTGCTGAATGTTGGGGTTGCTGTGGTGGATGGCTGTGGGTGGATGTGTTCAGCTTGTGGCCTGGACATCTGCCCGCTTGTTCTCCCGTGCCAGCAGCATGAGCGCCTGGATCTTCCCCCACAGCCGCTTGCTGTCAGCGCTGCTGCCGTGCTCACACCCGTGGTTGACGACAACTGACACGTAGTGCCGCCACAGGGGGAAGAACTGTGTTGTTGGGGGTGCGGGTGTGGGTGTGTGAAAGAGAGGTGTGGGATGGTGAAGGGGGAGGGGGGGGGGGGGGTGTGGGGGGGGGTTGAAGGGCTGAAAAAACGGTGGTGAGAGTACTTGTTTGTGGTGCCGGCACAGCAGCAGAGAGACAATGCAGTGCTGTGAGCATTGTGCCGGCCGGCACATTGTCACAGGGGAGAAGTATTGCGTTGTGAGCATTGCATGTGTTGAATGAGAAAGGGGTTTAGGGTGCGTGTGGAAGGGGAAGGGTGGGGGTGGTTGGAAGAAAAGGTGCTGAACGTTGGGGTTTGCTGTGGAAACCTGTGGGTGAATGTTATTAGATTGTGACCCAGACCTCCGTATCACTTTCTAATTCACTGGCGCACTCACTCACTCATGCAGGCACTCACTAATTCACTCGCTCACTCACTCACTCACTCACCCACTCACTCACTCACTCACTCACTTACTAACTCCAGAAGTCGCACTCATTCACATCCCCCGCTCACCGCGTAGCTAGCCCCTTCCCACACCTCCCCCACCCCTGGCAACATCCACCGGCATATACACTCCTCAACCCCTATCTTTGACTCGCCTCAAAATCAGCTCTCTCTAACCCTATTCCACCCACCCTCCCACTTCCCCAAGAATCACTCAGAGTCCAAAACGTGTACCCTCGCCAAGAGGGTTTCCTGTCCAGGTACCCTTGCTTGCCACACACGCAGCTCCTTTCCGGTGCCCTTAAAACCCTCCTACCTTCGCTACCTTCCTTCCCTCCAACCCTTCCCTCCCACCTTCCTAACCCCCTCCTCCTCTCCATGCACTCACCAGCACATAGTCCAGGTACCCGCGCCACACACGCAGCTCCTGCAGCGCCTCCTCTCGCCCCATGGCTTTGCAGTCACTCAGTACCACGCGCGCCCTCCTCGCCCTCTCGCCCTCATGCGTCTCTCGCCCCTCTCCTGCCTCCCCCTCCTCCTCCTCGTCATCATCCGTGTCCCCTCCATACTCTTCCTCCTCCAAGGCTTCCCCTTCTAGCTTCTTCTCCACCGCCTCAGCTTGATTTTTTAGGCGCCACAAAACACGCCCCTCCCCTGCCTCCCCCTCCTCCTCCTCGTCATCATCCGTGTCCCCACCATACTCTTCCAATTCTCCCTCTTCTTGCTTCGTTCCCACCGCCCCCTCCCCTCGCTCTCCTTCCTCCCCTACTTCCCCTCCCTTCCCCCTTTCCCCTCCTTCCCCTTTCTCCCCTTCACCAATCTCCTCGCTGCTCTCTCCCTCTTCCCCCTCTTCCCCTTCCTCTCCCTCTTCCGCTTCCCCTTCCCCCACTCCCCCCTCTTCCCCCTCTTCTCCCTCGTCCTCCTCCTCCCCTTCCTCCTCCTCCCCTTCCTCCGCCTCCCCACTCTCTCCCCCCTCTCCCCCTCCCACCGCACCATCCCCCTCCCCTGCTCCGCCCTCCCCACCTCTCTCAATCTCCTCCAGCCGCCTCTCCAGCTGCTTGATGCGCCGCATAATACGCACTCGGTCTGCGGAAACACGTGAGTGAGTTCGAGTGGGTTCGAGGGGGTTTGAGAGGGTTTGAGATGCGAATGCACTTACTCCACTCCAGCCGCCTCTCCAGCTGCTTGATGCGCCGCATAATACGCACTCGGTCTGCCAATAGTGGGTTGAAAGGGGACGGGGGTGCCAAGGGAGGGAAGGGGGGGAGGGGGTGGCAGGAGGGCAGGGGGGCAGGGGGGCAGGGATACTATTCATTGAGGGAAGCAGGGACAGGGACTGGGGGGAAAGGTGAGCATGGGGGGAGTGGGGGGAAGGTGAGTGGGTCCGGGCGCGAAAGGGTGGGATGGGATTTAGAGGGAGGAGCGGATGTGGAGAAGGGAGGGAAAGGGAGAAAGAAAGGAGCACTCCAGCTTACAACATTACTCCTTCCTACCAACCGCCATACCAACCGCGCATTCCCCCTACACTCCCCCCTTCCTTCCCCCCCTCCCCTCCCCCTCAATCCCTATCATCCCTCGCCCTCTCCCCCTCACCCCCTCCCCCTCGCTCCCCCCTCCTTCCCTCTCCGCCCCCCCCTGCGCACCATAGAAGCGCCCCATGCGGTACTTCTGCCCCAGCTTGCGCGCGAGCGCGGCTCTCTTGTCCGCGCGCACGCGCTCCGCGTCCCGACGCTGCAGCTCCGCCAGCTTCGCCTCCTGCTGTTGCCGCGCCTCGGCGGGGAGACCCACCTGCGGGTGCGGGAGAAAAAGAGGGGCGGGGGGAAGGGGGAGGGGAAGAGGGTGGGGGGAGGAAGGGGGGACGATCAGTCCCCTGTTTCTCGATCCGGCCGTTCATCGTCTGCTAGCTTGGCGCGCCGCTGCACACGCACCGCGGACGGAAACCTGATGCGGGGATAGGGTTTAACAGAAACTGGTGATCGTGCTGATCGTGCTGAAGGTCCCGAGAACTTACTTCGACTGCGAATGGCAACTTTGCAACATGCACCCGCGGGTGCGGGGGCGGAGAGGGAGGAGAACGTAAGGGCAGGGGGGAGGAGGCGGGGAGTGCTGACAGTACGCCTATGAGGAAATCGCGACCGTCCGTGTCTCTAATCTTGTCTTGACTCGAGCATCTGGCTCGCGTGTCTGACCTTGCTCAGCAGCCGTTTGATGGAGCGAATCTGCGGCTTTAACGACACCTTCTCGCGTCGCACGCGCGCCTCGTCCTCATCCTCATCCTCCTTCTCCTTCTCCGATTCATCCTCCCCCTCCGATCCATCCATTTCCGCTGCGGCATCCCGCCAGCCACTGCCGCGCCCGCCTCCCCCCCTTCCGCCTGATCGCCCCCTCCCCCGTCCCCGCGGTGCGCCATTGCCCCGCCCTCTGCCGCCGTACCCCTCCCTTCCGCGCCCTCCTCCGCTACCTCTGCCTCTTCCGCTGACTCCGCTTCTTCCGCCACCTCTCCCTCTTCCGCCCCTTACAGCACCGGTACCGCTCCCGCCGCGGCCGCCCCGCCCGCGCGCAGGGCTCCGTGCAGGGCTCCGCGTGCGGTCATTTGCGCCGGCATTCCGCAGCTGAGACCTGCCCGGAGAGTTTCCAGCCCCTGCCCGAGGCTTGTGGCGCGGCATGCCGCATATACGTCGGAGGTGATCGAAGGCTGTCTAAAAAGTTCGGTCTACAAGCCTCGGTTCACGATTTGATGTCATTATATTATCGGCTCTGAGTTTCCTGCCTTTCTGTTGCACGACTATCCAGATCGCAGGGTTTAAACATGTGTGAAGTTGAGGGGTTTGGGGTTTCCGCTTTCTGAATTGAACAAATACTGCGTTCGCCTTTGTATCTGCCGCACACTACAGCAGCAAAGCTTCACAATTTCTATGATTTTACCAGGTAAAACATTTACACAACATTTTCCAGAAATATCCAAAACAAGTAACTATGTACAACAGTCAAAGAATGTACTAACCCTTGAGTACAACCAAAAAAAGGATGCGTGCAACTATGTACAACCACAAGAATGTGTGAACTGTAAACCTCCTCTCTGGATGTTAAGCTGCTGGCTTTTTTACTTGCTCAAGAGTCTGCTGTTTCACACGCTCAAAAGTCCCCACCATCCAGTCCCTTCCAGATGCAATATATGGATTCTTCATCACCTGCTGTGCAGCCTGTGTGAAAGACGCCTCTGCTGTTGCTGCAGCCGCTTTGGCCTTGAAAGACACATGATAAGTGTTGTCCACCGAGGTGAATGCGTTGCTGACAGAAGCAGATGCGCCACTCATCCTCTCAGAGATGTTGAACCTCTTGTCAAGGGCAGCTACAGTCGCTGCAGTCTTCTCTTTTACAGACGCCATACTTGTGGATGCAGTTTGGCTGATGCCATGACTTTCGTCCAATGCCCTCGCCTTCTCCAAAGCGTCTTTACTCAGAATATAACCAGAGGCAAGCAGCGACGCAACAACGGATTCGGACTTGTGAATCGTTTCTGTTGAACTTTGCCCTCCAACCGTATTCACCATTGCCTGCCACACAATACACGACATGTCAGCATGATATGTTCACGCTATTTTAACGTGTATTTCTAATTGACAGGGTTTTCTTCCGCACCTCTTGAGAGGCGAAATCATGGTAATCCTCGTCCGAAAGGCGTAGTACATGGATGGGCTGGTCTTCAATCAGTGTTCCCTGGAATATCCCACAGCAATTCTCGTTAGGACTGGGCAGACCGATAACTTTTGTTTTCCCCCAGACTGGACGATAAATACTCACTGAAAGCAACAGTGAAGTCTCAACTGCGTTGCCGTCCTTAAATGTCAGAATTGCGAACCTTTTTGCAGGGTACGACGATGCCTGATCCCTGCGTAACAGTAACGCAGAATTATATACAACCAAAATGCGTCTCATTCAGGATCGCGTGCAAAATCAACAATCCAGACACTGCTTTTAACTCACGATTTGAAAACTGCAGAGGAAATGTCCCCAGCAAACTTGAAGAAGTCAATGATATCCTGATCAGTGACTTTAGCGGAGATGTTGAGAACCTTAACGGACTTCTGAAGGTAACAAATCCATGGCTTAGAGTCTGGACATCCATTCGGTAGCAGGAAGATAAGCAAGAAATCCTCACCTCCATCTGACAGCTTTCACGCTTTCAACTTCTGTTGGACCAAGTTTCCTTTATCGCGAGTTTCACAGTCACACGGGATGCAACGTTTCTCTGCTGGAAAATGGTGAACCAAACAAACAAATAGCACACTCGACTTCCGGAAAGAGAATTCAACACAACCAGCTAGCTTCAGCGGGCCGCACCTTTCATAGATGCTCTACACTCGACTCGTGTGAAGTGCCGAGTCGAGCCCCGAGCTGGAAGCACAGTACATTTCGTGGAATACAAGCGACAGGTGGCTTTCGCTCTAACGCGTGAGACACGCCAAAGGGGTCACGAAGGAAAGTCACCAAGCAGGAAAAACATTCCTCTTCTCGTATAACATTATGTTATGCAGAATTGTCATATCTAGACTGATTGGTTCCTCCTAAACCAATCAAAGCATACATAACTCGCCAAAGCAATACAATAGCACATAACTTCAGCTTGCAACACTGATATGATTGCGGGAGACAAGGGATTGTGCCATAGAAGGTTTGGGTTGCATGGTATCAGATTATGTTGAGTTTTTTCGCTTCCGCACCACCTACCTCCCTAGCTGCCCTCGTGCCCTCACGACCGCCCCCCCTAGCGCCCCCCCCTCTAACGGCCCCCTCTAGAGTCCTCTAACTCCCCCCCCCACCCTCTCTTCTAGGAGCCCCATCTAGCGCCCCGTCGCGCCCCATCCGCGGCCCAGTCGCGCCCCATCCGCGGCCCAGTCGCGCCCCGCCGTCGCGCCCTGTTGCCGCGCGCCCTGCCGCGCCTTACCGCGCACTACTGCCTTTCCGCCGCATGCCCTACCGCGCGCCTACCGCGCCCTGCTGCCACGCGCCTGCCGCGCCATGCCGCGCCTGGCTCGCGCCCCCAGCCACACCTGCCGTTACCGGCGAGCCTGCATCGTAACCACGCCAACGAACCAAGAAGTCGATGAAAGAGACACCCCCCTGAAGGCGGCGACGGTGCCTGAGGATGCGCTGAATCTGGTAATCGGGCTCGTCAGTGTCAACAGCGACCGGCAGTGGAGTGCGATCACGGCCCGAGAAGGTGGCGTTGGGATCGGTGTATGGACGAAGGAGAGACACGTAGAATGAAGGGTGCATGCGGAAATGAGCAGGAAGGCGGAGGCGGTATGCGACTGGACCTAGTGTGTCCTCAATGACGAATGGACCAATGAAACGAGGGCGAAGCTTGTTGTCCTGTGGCAGTCGGAGGTTGCGGCTGTCGAGAAGGACACGGTCGCCAATTGAAAACGACACCTCACGACGACTGCGGTTGGTGGTGCGTGCCATGCGTGCATTTGCGAGCTCAAGGTGCTTCCTCACATGATCATGAATGAAGGTGAGATGCTGGTGGTAGTTGTCCGCACGAGGGACAGCGGGTGTGAGATCGACACGAGTGGGGACATTGGGGTGCTGACCGTACAGTGCGAAAAACAGTGACATGCCTGTGGACGAGTGATGGGTGTTGTTGTATGCGAACTCGGCCATGCTCAGCTTCTTGTCCCATGCGGCTGCGTCGTGCATTGTGATGCTGCGAAGAATCTGCTCCAAGGTCTGGTTCACACGCTCAGTCTGTCCGCCTGTCTCTGGGTGGTACGCAGACGACATGGCTAAGCGAGTCCCAAACAGTGCGAAAAGCCGGTTCCAGAAGTTCGAAGTGAAACGAGGGTCGCGGTCTGAGATGATGGAATCTGGAACCCCGTGCAGTCGGACTACGTTATCTACGAACAGCGTCGCGGCTTCCTCTGCTGTGACTTTGCCGTGCGTGGGGATGAAGTGCGCTGCTCGAGAGAACTTATCCACTACAACGAAGATGGCGTCATGACCCCTAACTGTACGCGCTAAGGCCATGATGAAGTCCATCGTAACTACCTGTTAAGGGCGGTCGGGTGGTGGAATCGGCTGCAAAAGTCCTGCCTTGCGCTGGCGAGAGGACTTCGTACGCTGACACGTGTCGCACGAGCGAATGTAATCCTCTACGTCTGCTGCAAGCCATGGCCAGAAGTACGTGCGACTAAGCGTCTTAGCCGTCTTATCTGCTCTGAAATGACCTGCACTAACGACATCGTGCGCCTCGGAAAGAAGGATTTGTCGAAGAGGGCGGTAGGCGGGAACCCAAATCCGTGCTGTCCCTTTCCGAATGTAGACACTACCCTGCACCTCTGCTCCTGTGGGCGGCTGTGGTGTGAAGTCGGGATCTACGGTGTGTCCGTGCTCGAAAAGTGCTGTGAGAAGTGGATGGCCGGCTGTGACTGTGAGACTAGCGAGCTGACAAGTAGGGCGAGTGAGCGGATCCGCTGGGTTACGAACGCCTGGCTTGTATTCTATCTTGTAATGAAAGCTCCCCTCGATGAACTCCATCCTGCTAGCCTGGCGACGACTCAGCTGCGGCTGTGACTTGAGAAAGCGAAGCGAGCAATGGTCCGTGCGTATAACACTATCTGCCCCCTCTAGGTAGCACCTCCACACCTTATACGCATGGATGATCGCGAGCGCCTCCTTGTCGTGAATGGGATAGTTCAGCTCCGCTCCCCTAAACTTACGCGACTCGTATGCTATCGGCTGCAGCCCGCGGCCCTGGTCCTGAAGAAGCACTGCTCGAATGGCCCGATCTGATGCGTCGGTCACTACAACGTACGGGCGAGTGGGATCTGGGTACGACAGTGCTGGCGAAGACGTGAGCGACTGCTTCATCTGCTCGAACGCCTGCTGCTGCGCTGGACCCCAATCGAAATCTACGCCTTTCCGAAGTAGGTTGGTGAGTGGACTAGCGATCAATGCATAACCCTGAACGAAACGACGGTAGTAATTCACGAATCCGAGAAAGCTCTGCAACTCCTTGACTGAGGTCGGAGCTATCCAGTCCTGTACTGCTGCGATCTTCTTTTGGTCGGTCCTAATGCCACTACCGGATACGACGTGACCTACAAACTCGATGTCAGAGAGGAAGAACTCGCACTTCGACTGCTTAGCGTACAACTGCTCCTTCCGCAAGACCTCAAAAACTTTCTGCAAGTGCTGCACATGCTGTCAGAATAGTGAAGGAAGGAATGACTGAACTAGCAAGCAGGTGGGTACAAGTAGGAAACCTAAAAGTGTTGTACCCTATATGAACTACCCTACACAGACTATAGCATATAAGTTTGACACACCCCCATAGGCAAAGTGGAGGAGAACAAGAGGTCACAAGACCGGTCAAGAAAGGCAAAGCAAGCTCAGGGTCGATCACGACGTCACCACGCATTCTGAGCACAAGCAAATGGCCACAAGGCCAGTTCACATGCAGAGTTATATAAAGGAGAACAAGCAATACAGTGATCACAACCTAGCAAGTGTAAGCATGCAGGTATATGTATAGAGATCACAGTACAAGCAGAGTCAAGAAGTAAGCAAGTGAGGCACAGTAGGCACAAGGCCTAGAACAGTACAGAAACGCTGATGATCACAAGGCTGAAGTGCCTTGGTGAACACATCAGCAGTGTTGGCCCGAGTGGCCACGTAAGCAAGACGAAGCTGACCACGCTGCTGCAACTCTCGAGCAAGGAAGTAGTGCAGAGCGATGTGCTTCGTTCTGTGCTCCAGTCTGTGCTCCTGACACAAGGCAATCATGGCCTTGTTGTCGACGTACAGCACCGGAGGAGAACGAGGCCGCTCTCCCAGGTCGGTCAGCAGGTAGGTGAGCCAGCGTAACTCCTGTGCAGCCATGGCCCCTGCGTAGATCTCAGCCTCACAGCTAGAGCTGACAACAGAAGACGAGCGGGTAGACCGCCAAGAAACAGAGCCAGAGCCAAGGCTGAAGGTGTAACCCTGTGACGACCGCTGCGTAGCCAAGTCGTCAGCCCAGGAAGCGTCTGAGTGACCTGTGAGGACAACTTGAGCCCGTCCTCCAAGCACGAGCCCGATGCCCGACGTACTGCACAAGTAGCGCAACACCCTCTTAGCGGCATCCATGTGCTCCTTCCTGTGTCTGCCAGGAGCGACATAGCGTGCTAGAATGCTAAGAGGGTAGGCAAGGTCAGGTCGAGTGCAGGTCATCAGGTACATGAGGCAGCCCACAAGCTCTGGATACGGGCCACTCGGCTCTACGGACTCGTCCGAAGGTGGAGCTGAGAGCGAGTGACCGGCAGGCAGAGGAGTGGACAGTTGCGAGGAGTACGTGAAGCGGAAGCGCTGAAGGACCTGCTGCACCATGTGTGACTGAGTCAAGGTAATGGTGCGCTGTGCTCTGTCCCGGGTGATCCGCAAGCCAAGATAGCTTGTCAGCTCACCCAGGTCTGTGCACGTGTGTCTCTTCTGCAGCTCCGACTTCACGTGGGCGAGTCCCTCAGTGTCAGCAGTAGCAAAGACCAAGTCGTCTACGTACACGAGAACGTAGAACGGCGGCAGAGTGGTGTCGGTGCGTAGAAACAGCGACGGGTCAGCAGTAGAAGGAGCAAACCCAAGAGCAGCAAGAGTCGTCCTCAGCGTGTCGTGCCACTCACGGGGTGCTTGGCGGAGACCGTAGACTGGCCACCGGAGGCTCCACTGGGTACCTGCAGGAAACGACCCAGTGAAGCCAGGTGGGCGGCGCAGCCAGATCTCCTCGTGCAGGCTGCCCTGTAGGAAAGCAGTGCTGAAGTCAAGAGAGTGAAGCTCGTAGTCACGCTGAGCGGCGACATGCAGCAGAACCCGAAGAGTGGTCATCTTCGGGGTAGGGGAGAAGATCTGGAAGAAGTCAACTCCCTGTCGCTGACTGAAGCCTCGAGCAACGTAACGCGCCTTGAAGACAGGCGGAGAACCCGGCAGCCACTTCACCCTGAAAATCCACATGCCATTGACAATGTTCGCCCCAGGTGGGGGAACCTCGTCAACGTAGGTGCCTGTGGACTTCCAGGAATCCATCTCTATGTCCATGGCTGTCTGCCACTGAGAGGAGTAGGGACCCTCTATCGCCTCTGCGTAAGAGCACGGGGTCGGGATGTCTGGTGCATCCGGGTCTCCCTCAGGGGC